TATATATATATATATATATATATATATATATGTGTGTGTGTGGGTGTGTGTGTGTGTGTGCGTGTTTATATATATATATGTATATATATATATGTGTGTGTGTGTGTGCGTGTGTGTGTTTATATATTTATATATATATATAGTGTGTGTTCATATATGCATATATATATGTATGTATGTATGTATGTAGGTATGTATATGTATGTATATATATATATATATATATATATATATATATATATATATTATATATATATATATATGTGTGTGTGTGTGTGTGTGTGTGTGTGTGTGGTTGTGTGTGTGTGTGTGTGTGTGTGTTTGTGCGCGTGTATATGTATAGGCAAGTTAAAAGTATATACACTTGGGAATGTTGCCAAATATTATGTTCCAATATCGAGGGACATATTCTCTGCACTCCAACAAAGAACTGTAAAATGAGACATGCATCACAACTACAATGCAGGTGGCACCGGCGTAATAGTGAGTAGGAGAAGAATCAAAGGAGTGCTGATGTTCAAAAAATCGCACGGAAATTTACAATTAAAGTGTTTGCAGAACACTAACAAGCTTTATATTCGTTTGACATGGCTTATATTTGGTGTAGGTTCCAGAGCACACTATATTCTTACTTACGAATATTTCTAGATGCCCCGTTCGCATATGTGAAAAATATGTGTGAATATGACCGATATTTGAATAGTTATGGCTATGAAGTAAGTATGAAGGCGGCAGTGAGAAAACGGAGGGCTATATGCACAAACAGTTTTAAAGCACACATATGAATTCAGTTGTTGGCTCTATTTATATGATTGAATTATGTAAATATGTCGGTCTTGTTGTTGTAATAAGTGTCAAAATATGTCAGTGTGACCCAAATTGTAACGAGAGGTCTCGGTCTGCGACTCTGCAGTCTGCGCCCTGCGGCCTCCCCTTTCCCTTTCTTCCTCTTGTAGAATTTCAAATTTGGTTGCCCCTCCAAGCACCACTTCTGGGGCTGGAGGGGGGAGGAGAGCGGGGCTGCGCCGGTGATAGATGGGGCCCTGGCCCCTGGAATTGGCACTGCTGGTTTTTTTCTTCTCCAATAGCCTTCGTCAAAATACTGTCAGGGACACAGCAATACTAATTTTATCTCTGATACACTCTCTTATATTTACACAAAAATCGTCGGTTCACTCTCTACTGTAGTAGTTGTCGGGTAGCGAGACTATTTATTAGAGACTAGAGGTCATACTAGTGAGAGGGTGAGGGTGAGGGTGAGGGTGAGAGAAAGGAAGAGAGCAAGGGAGAGAGAGAGAGAGAGAGAGAAATTAAAACAATCTCGATAAAAATTACATATTGTATTCTTATCTGCTGTGTCTCAACTCTCCTACAACCATATCACAGCTTCTGATATTTGGCGATCGATGTACAATATATAGCTTCGATATATAGCTTCGATGTACAGTATATAGCTTTGTGATCAATAGGTTAAATAGACCATAAGAGCTGTTAACACTTCACAAACATCAATATGACTTCTGCACCATCTACGGTTCTGTCTGCGGTTGCTCCTACCATAGAGGCAGAGAAGAATCATGCGCACGCAGAAAAGTGGAATACACGTCCGACGCAGGGTCAATCGCATACACAACCGCAAGCTCCATCCCAGGGCCAATTGGAGTCCCAGGGTCAGGACTTGGTCGCCGAAGCGAACTCTGAGAAACGTGGTGACGCGCCTGTGTCTGATGTGTCAATGCAGAATATGACTACATATGCGAAGCACGTTGGGCGCACAACAACACGGGACTTGTCAACACATACGTTTGCACCAGAACCATGGTTGCAATATGGTGACGACAACGGCCACGAATATTATCGGCTTGGGAGCGAGACGCCGGAACCGGTAAGGTCATCCAGGCACAGGAAGGAATCCGGGGACGAGGAGTACAAATTCTCGTTGGATGGGATTCTAGACACCAAATTGAAAGATACTTTCTCCAAATTGGATGCGCTCTGCCAGGAAACGCTGAAGAACAAACGTCGTGTGCCAGCGTGTATGCGAACCAGTGCGCAAAGGTGTGTTTTGTCTGGGGCTCGATGTATATGATTTCTAGTGCTGTATCACCGGTTTTATATTTTCCGCCCGCTCGTCGCTCATTGCTCATTTTTATTTTCAGATGTCACAGTCGTACTAACTTGTTACTGTTGTTGCTTATACACAGGCATGATAGTCACGGATGCCTCCCGAACCAGGAACCCCTGAGTGATCTAAGCACTCTGACGCCGCGCAAAGTTGACAAGTCAAGTCTCCAGACTCGCACGAAGGATTCACGAGGCCCCAAATTGGGAGATACTTTCTCTAAATTGGAGGCGCTCTGCCAGGAAACATTGAAGAACAAGCGTCACGTGCCGGCGTGTAAGCGAACCAGTGCGCAACGGTGTGTTTTGTCTTAGCGATGTATGTGCTTTCTAGTGCTGTATCACAATTTGTGTATATTCCGCTCGTTTTTGTTTTCAGATGTCATAAGTCCTAACTTGCGATTGTTTCTGCTTAAACAGGCACGACAGTCATGGAAGTCTCGCGAGCCTGGGAAGCCTCGGCAATCTGATCAATCTGATGCCGCACAAGAGTGGTAAGGGTAGTCCTCAGATTGGCGTGAAGGTCCCGAACACGCCACAGCAACCAGTGCCCTCGTTTAATGTGGAAACGGCTTCCCCCTTGCCGTCCACACTGGCCGAGGGTACTAAGCGTTGGTCCAATGTGGAGCCGGACAACCTCTCGCCGTCTACTCCAGTATCTACGCAAGTCTCTAAGCCCGAGCCAACGAAGGAGCCGGAGACAGGACCCACAAACGACAAGAAATCGGAAGAACCGCCGCCCCAAAAGAGTATGTGCCTGTGTCTAAGTACATTATTGTATGTTTTCTTTGTTTGTTCAGTGCGCATTTTTAAAATTGAATAATAATGTATGATTTTGCATCTCAATATACAGAGGAGGGATGGTTCGCATCCCTGTGGAAGTGGATACCGAAGCTGCCTGCGCGTGGTCACACCGGAGAGGAGCTGAGTATGTACTTCGACAAGGACAAGGGCAAGTGGATCAATCCGGTAAGCTGGCAAATGTAACATAGATATACATATATACAAGCAGATCGATGTTTTGATTTTTATGTATAACATCCGTATTCTAGTACAATTATCTTACGCTGTAATACACTCTCCTACACACCAATTCGCGTTAAACACAGAATGAGCCCGAGGAGGAAGATGAAGCACCTCCGCCACCGCCACCCAAAACACTGGGCTACGTTCCAAGTGACGACAAGGAACTATCTACTTCGGGTAGAGGTGCTCCCACTCTCACCGCAGAGTCCAATTTGCCTGGCAAAGCTCTCGGCACTCCCAATGGCCTATCTCCAGGATTTGGTCCACCCATGCCTTCCAGCGGCGCCAGCAGGAAGAAAGCGAGGGCGCGATACGTGGACCCGTTTGCAAATGGCTAAGTCATCTCACACTTGGATGTCAACTCCATCCTATCTCCAGTATTTGGGAATCTCCCCCCCCCAGCCCTAATTAAAACGAGGCACTGACAGGAAGAGACGAGGACAACCTTGTGTGGGCGAGGAAAGGGACAGTGTCTTTGAGACGTACCCTCAGCTTCCCACTGGTTGGCTTGTCTCGATCGCAAGCAGTCTAATGCGCTAGCTCTGGTACGAGACCCAGTGTTCCAGCGCATATAGCCCAATGACCCGTATCCGTATCCGAATGCATCTGCAGGTGGGGGGTAAAAAAAGGGAACCAAGTGTGGGGTAGAAAGGGGCAGTGTCTTTGAGGCTTACCCTTTTATCCCACTATCTTGGTCTCTCCCACTTCGCATCTTCAGGTGGTACGAGCATACAGGGAAGGGACTGTGCTATCAAGGACCTGTTTACGTTCGCATCTGCAGGTGAGGAATTTAACCCGGATTCAAATGTGGGGTGGAAAGGGGCAGTGTCTTTAAGGCGTACCCTGACACCCCACTGGAGGTCTTTCACACCTCGCATTTGCAGGTGGCACGAGCACGGTGTATAGTGTGGGTAGGGAAGGTACATTACCCTGGCTCAACACTGAGTGGCCCTATCCTTCATACTGTTGCATGGGCAGACACGTAGTTGACGACGATGATGAATGATGTCGATCATCAAAAGATTTTGCTCGGATGACATTCCAGAGATCCCGCTTGCTTCAACAGGCGTCTATTTTCTGCCATCAGGGTTGTTGTTTCTTGATGGAGCTTTTGGACTATCCCTGATATAGTCAGACGGCAAGTGAGCATATTAGCCAGGGAAGCTGTGGATTGGGACAGAGTATTGTGTGAATGGTTTATGGTTGCGGCCGATTCGCTTTGCGAGATAAAAACAATTTAAAATACCTTGCTCGGAGTCAGGAAATTCGTTCAAATGTAGCACGGTAGCGTTAAAATTGTGGTCATTCAATACATCGCCCGATCGCACATCATTTTGAAGGGCACCAGCAGAAGACAATACATCACCCGATCGCACATCATTCTGAAGGGCACCAGCAGAAGACAATACATCACCCGATCGCACATCATTCTGAAGGGCACCAGCAGAAGACATAGCACCATGTTCAGATAGGATCTATAAGAAAAGGTTTAATTCAATCAGTCACAAAAAAAATATTCGTTAGTGTAATCAAAAAATTCATGTCGACAAAAAGGGTAC